ATGATTAGTATTTTTTGCCAAAATCCCAAATCCCAAATCCCAAATACTAGTAATTTGGGATTTTGGCGTCCCAAATTTCAAATGATTTGGGATTTGGGCAACACGTATAATATCAGGTACCCGATATATACCCGATATTAGGAAAACACCATGTATATATCAGGTACCCAATATGTGTATGTTTTATCAATTTTCGACCAGTGTTAGGAGGTTCCTGGAGTAAACAAGTTTATTAATCTTTAGTTTTCTATTTTATACAGATTTTATTTTCTTCAATATTTTCTCCTTCGATAATTCTCCTCTCTTCTATAACTATCTCGTGGTGTTCTTCTATTATATTATTTTTTTGTTTATATGTGATTATAAATTAACTTCTCAATTATATTTACAGCTTTAGATTAGTCTTCGTCATGTATACTATAAGGTATCTTCGGTGACTGCAATTAGCTGTGGGGAAAATAATGTGTGCCACTTCCATGGCCATCTTTCATTTTTTTAAGACATTCATTTTGGTTACTATTATTTTATTCGCTGTATGTGCTATAAGGTATCCTCGGTAACAATGATTAGTCGCAGGGAAAATAATATGCGCCACTTCCATGGTCATCTTTTTATTTTGTCCTAAACACTAGATTAGTTTTTTTTTTTTTTTTTTTGTAGTGACGGATGCTGGATTCTTTTTTTTTTATTCGTAAGTATATTTTCTTTTATTTCCTTATTAATATCACGGGATAGGTAGAAAGAGATTAATTACTTTTCTTTCATCATTATTTTCTCAAATGTACTATTATTACTTATATATATTAATATTAAATAAAGTATAATAAAATTATTTTGATTACTTTTATAAATATAAATTATCTTTTTGTAAATGAAATTGATTATAAATTTCCATTCATCTGTTATTTTTGTATTACCATTTCCCTTTTGTACTGTTTATAGTGAAAATATCACATCCTAGTTAAAGTATTCTAATTAAATAACTTTCTTAAAATCTATTAATTATTTTTGATAAGATTCCCATATTCCTTCATTTTTCCCACCTTCATTGATTATAATACCTTCATCACCAATGGTCACGTTCACACCTCCATTTTTCACTAACCCTAATTCTAATTCTAAATTCTCCTCAAAATCTCGATCCCTATAAACTTCCTATCCATTACCCTTATTATTAAAATTATTTCTATTACTAATATTATGTTCACATTTTTTCCTCTTTTTCTAAATTCATACCTAACGACACCTTCAATGGTTATCCCTTTATCTCGACCCCTCAATTTCGAATTTTTTTTTCTCTTGATCTCAATGTCACTGATAGATGGAGATATTTCAATTCTTTTTTTTTTTTTGTACACAATTCTTCTTCTCCCTTTCAATCCTCACATAGTTCTCTTTCTTGTAACCTTGGTATTAAGCATTTTACACATAGTCTTAGTTTTATTTCTTGTAACCTTTCTAAGTTCATTTCTTCTTCTATTTGTTCAAACGTTTCTTCCGGTATTTTCCTATTTCGTTTTCTGTTTCCTTTGAAAATTCTGAGTTTTCTTCTATTTATTCCATAGTTCTTTTTAGGGTTAATTCTTCTTCCCGGTCCATTTTCTCCCAGTATAGATCCACTCATCTTCTTGTGGCTTTTAACCATTCCTCCGTTATAAATTCGTCCCTTTTCTTTTCTGAAAGTATAATCCCGCTAGTCTTAGGATTCCTGTTCTATTATTATTCCATTCCCTTTTATTTCTGAATCCTTTACCTGGTCCTTCTATTCTTTTTATTGATAAATAGATTCAGTTTCCTCTCTGTAGTTCTGTGAATTAGCGATTCTTCGTTGGTGGTTTTTAGATAAGTTTCGCTTTCCTGGATTATTTCTTTGCAAATTTACAGTTAAATTAATTATTTCACCACTAATCTTGTTGTTTCTTCTTTCAAACTTTCAGATTCTCAAACAGTTTCAATATCTTGCTCCTGAGGATTTCCAATAGTTACCATTTCATCATCGTCATCGAAGTTTATTATCCATAGTTGAATCTTTTCGAGTTGTGATGAAGTTCTACTTGGTCCTTCGAAAGTTTCTTCCTGGTATAAGGTTGTTTACGGATGGTCTTATAATAATGATTAAGTAGCAAAATATGGAGTTGAACATGGGGTTCTCTCAGCGTTTGTTGCATTTTCAACGATCACGTAATTGGCGTTGGTCTAAGGTTCGTCCTTATTATTGTTATCATTAAACAAACTATTAAATATAAAGCTTATATAATATTATTTTTTTCCAAAAAAAATTCGCGGAGGTGGAAGAGAAAATAAAGTAAGTATAATGCATAATTCGTGACATATATTCGAGTATATTAATAAAGTAATTAAATTAAATAAATAAAAAAAAATATATAGGTACGCAAATGTTATTGCTGAAATTATAGTTTCAAAGATCTAAATCTTCATATAGGAAATGTATAAAAGATAGGAATATTGTGAATAAAAGGAAAAAGAATGTGCTAATATCTGAGATATTTAAAACCTGTGTATATTATCTAAAAACTCGAAATAAGATACTTGAATAAATCAATAATATTTTCGTTCACCGTTTATTCGTCACAACTGCGAATTATAAAATAACAATAGGGGAGTGATATTTCATTATCAAATTTGGGGTGATACTTAATTATCCGTTGTGATTTGTATATAGTTTGGTAGTTAAATGAGAATATCTACTTCTTTTGATACTGTTATCTTTTTCCATCAGTTATATGTATTCTTTCTGCATGTGTTATTTTATTTTATTATTATTATTTTTTTTTTGTTAATATTTCTTTACTTGTTGTTATTTTGTTCATTTACTCTATTTTCTACTTATTTCAGAATTCTAATGTGATTCTACAGGGGATTTTTCTTTATTTATTTTGTTACTTGGATTTTAAAGATATTGGTGAGGTAGTTGTAAACTCTTCTTCTTTTGTTAGTTCCGATTATTTTTCTTTCTCTAGGCTTAGATATGATGTTTTTTTTCTGTAAAGTTAAGATTTCTTCCTCCAGATTTTCTATTCAACTTTTAGTTCTCTTAATATTCTCCCTGTCATTCTCTTTCATTAATATTCACTTTACTGACTATATTATTTTAAGGTGGCCAACCTTTTCAATAATATTAATGCTTTAATAGTATTCTTTTAATAATTTGACAGTATTACTTTAATTGTTTTCAAGCGCAAGGTGATCAATCTTAATTTATCTTTACTAACAATTACTTCGCTAGAGGTTTTGCACTTGACTCCTAATCAGAGGTATAAGCACTTGAAGTCCAGTCAAAGGTTTTGCAAATAGCGGCATTCCATAACAATAATTCAGATTAATTCATAAAAAAAATTCAATTTCAATCTTTCCTAACAGTGATGATGGAGCGAATCCTAAAGACTTTACAGTTATTAATTGATTTAAACAATTTTTCGACTTGTTGGTCCAGTTTTTTAAACTTGCTAGTCTCTTCGATACAGTCTATTTCACCTGTTCAGTATGCTTACCATCTTTTCCAATTTATTTTTATTCTTTGCAATTCTTTTTAATTTCAATTTGACAGAGTTTCCCTTGTATTTTTAACATTTATTCCAGAACTATCATCTTAGCATTGATATATTTTTTTACAATTCCAGTTGTTCTCTTTAATAATTTTTATTCACTTATTTCTCACATCTGTTTTCCTTATAATAACTAAGATTTCTTTCTGCTAGAAGTCATCAAATTGTCACGGTGGTCCTCGGTTTTCTCAAGAACCACCTAATATAGTGACTTTACAGTTCTTTTAAGGAGTTTATAGTCCTTTCCTAAAGGTAAGACTGTTGTTTCATCATTTTAGAAGGCACCACTGATTCAATTATTTTAGAAAGGAAATCAGACCTTTCA